CTTAGAATCGTTTACTACTTCCAGGGAAAGGGTCAAAGCTTTAGCACGAGATTGCAAGATGGTTTTGAAATCGTTGGTATGTACGCAGATCGTTCTCTACGCGCCAAGGCGAGTACGCGTGGGACGCTGCACCTAGCTCAGCATCTGCATCTGCTGCTTTGCCCTCGAAATGCTGGGGTCCCAGAGCCTGGCGTTCACTGACTGTGGCGCGTGCCTTGACCCTGCGAATCTGCGCCAACTCAGCCCCTAGATCCCCCGGCCACGCCCATGCTCATGGGCCGGCGCTGATTTTTTGCTCGGGTGCATTTGTTTGGCCTGTGGCGCAGTCTGACCAGATCGTGAGAGCGACAATTTCAGCTTGCAAAGCTATGCGCGCTGTTTGAAGTGCCGCGCGAAAAATCGCCAGCTCCGCCTGCGGCCGCGGGAGAGGCCCCTACGTGCTGCAGGGAACTTGACCTGATGCCGCGATCTGGACGACGCGCCCCCTTGCACGTTTGATGGCGCGGCTTTTGCCGTTAGGCAGGGGGCCGTCCGCGTAGACGTCTCCTATGACAAAATCTTGCGCCTCCGCCGTTGTGTATCGAGGTAAGAGCCGGGGTGGCCATGACCAAGATATCGCGGGATCTTGCTGATGCCGATCTTGGCCATGGTCCATGTCGGCCGTCTCCGATTCGCAAGGACGATGAAAGGATGCTGACCAAGATCCACGTCGACCAAGATGGACACAACGTTTCCGCGTTCAGTCTCTGTCATGGTGCCCGTTTTTTTTTTTTTTTTCTCCTCCAGTGAGGGCTGAAAGTAAGATCCCCATATCTGGCAGGCGCGCCGCTGGGTATTGGGTGGCGCCCCCACCCCATGGGAGATCATTGGCAGACGCTCAGCGCCCAGCTGCTGCGCGCCTTTGCGACCCGCCGCAAGGCGCGCTCCGCGCCTGGTGGGACAGCGGCGCAGTCCAGGCGCGTTCGATCCTTTCTCTCTCCGCTCGAGGAAGAAATAAGTTCATGACCGCGAGGTTTCGGCGGTCCGCGTGGGTCTCTTGGATCGGCGCTGGGCCCTCCTGGCGGCGCCTCTGGCGCCGCTCTTGGCGCGCTCCGCGCGCCAGTCTCAGCGCAGATCCAACAAAATTCCGCGCGGACCTCCAAATGTTTATGTTTGTTTTTGCCATTGTTTCGTCCACTACACAGGCAGCGCAAGCGCTCGAGTCGGCCACGCCTTTGCTTGTGCTTGCTCTACATGCCTTCGCAGAAAGGGGCGCGCGCGCCCGAGTTCTATGCTCCGCCGTCAAGCGCTTGCTCGCTGGCCGTGCTACCGATGCTC